TACCATTTTAAGGGAACTGCCAAGAAGAGATTTCAAGAATAGGGATGGTATTTACCATGGCATAGAGATGTCACAATATTGACAGATTAAGAATTTTAATTTGACCTTTATGATGTGGGGTTTCTTGTTTTCAACACTCAGCTGCTTTTAGCAAAAACACGTACAAAGTACTTTAAATGACGAGATAGCAACAATTATGTGAGGCTCTTACTCAGCTAGTCAGAAGAGATAAACAGTGCTTGCAGTTTCTTGTTCTCTTTCTAGTGCATCAAAACTCTTGCTCTGGCAGCGTGTCATCTGGCAGAATTAAGTGTGGGATAATGGTGATGTTGTGACTAATACACAAAAATATCACTGGGTAGCTAAATATTTGCAGAGCATTATATTTCTGTGATACATGTACTGTGGTTTGTTACACTGAGTGACGTGCAGCCTGACAGGATGAAACGTTCAAAATGAAAATTCAAAATCTGGGTGTTAGGCAAATGTCCACAGTAGAATAGATAATCTCTGTAAACCCATAGTGTGCTCACTGAAGGACATAATAGACAAACTCTGATCCTCCTGGAGTGCATGCAAGCATTGCTGCTGTTGCTGTGGGATTTACCTAGCACAAATAGCTGCATTTGCAGTAGTAAAATGAAGACATCACTCATCAGCTTAGCTCCTGTTATGGTGTTAGTCTGCTCTGCGTTTTTGTATTGATCTGTGAAAAAGAATGACTGATGGGGCTGTTAACACCAAGATAAGATAGAACATAAGAGCATATAATGACAGTGTGAAGGTCAGCATTTAACTGAGTGTTAGATAAGAGGAGATGGCTTCCTTTCACACCATGGTGCTTGTTTGTCCATTTATGTTGTGTATGTGCATTATCTTCTAGCAACTGAGAGCCTTTATTGGCAGGATTGATGGTTCCATGGCTTGTATGTGACGTTTACAAGCAAATGATACAGATAAAGTTCTTTGGATAATTACTTTAGGGGAGGATTTGCATAAAAAACTTTGTGTTGGAGAAGATGCTGTGAGACTTAGTCAAACAAATTGTTCTACAAAGCTTGGATTAAAAACCAGACACACCAAAAAGCCCATTTGCAACCGGTTAAGAAGAACTGGCAGAGATCTAAAGACTAGGGCCAGACCTTGGTTTTATTAATTGTTCTCTTTAAAACCCTTGTAGAAAAGCAAATTAAAAGGTTTGTCATCAGAGGGTGGTTTTCATTTCATAGATGGAAAGGTAATTCATATCCTGAAATCACCTGGGTGCAGTAGTAATGACTTGCTGTTGTGGCTTGGAGTTGAGCACCAGCAAGGTGTCAAATTCATCAATATTAGACTTGGTTATAAATACGACTTGGAGTCCTCAGCCTGAGTTTTCAGTAGCAAACCCACAGAGAATGCAGATTTATTACAGTCATTGGAATGTGAACAGGAGTACATACTACTTGTGTAGCTTGTCAGCCACAGTAATGGAATTACAGCCTGGAATGGATGGGTAGGAATAGAAGGTGTTTTTGTCAGGATCAGCAAAGGCTTTTCAGCAAGGACAGGAATCTCCTCCTGGGCTGGGGCAGGTGTCCTGTGTGCCCTCGTGCCTCGCTCTCACTGCCAGCTGCTCCAGCACCTTGTTTGTAGTGTGGGCTGCTCAGGCTCTATCTTGGAATGAATTCACTCTCCTCCTCCAGCACCTCCAGGGGAGACTACTCAAGAGTTCTGCTCCTGTGGCCGCTGGAAACTTCATTTTTCTCTGTTCAAATTTGTTTCTAAACTCCGTTTACCACTGTGTTACACATGAGTCTGTTGTTGCTGGAGTCTTATGCTTCATTTTGCCCTTCAGCACTCTTCCTTCCATTTACTGGAAATCCCATACCTAGTGTGTCTCACTGTGAATTTGCCATTTCTGTCTCGTGTTCATTGTGTCACTGACTACAGTACTCAGGTCTCTCCCTCTCCTGTCACAGGCAGTTGTGAGTCTGAACCAACACTCTCAGCTTCCTTCTGTGCTTCTCCCTCCTCTCCTCCAGCCGTGCTGCAGTTTGTTTGTTGATGTGAGCACACTATTCTGTGTTCATACCGGCTCAGCCATGCAGTCATCAGGCATTCCTTTTGAATAGCCATGTGTTGGCACGTGGAATATTCGTATTAACAGATCCAAGTGTGTCTCAGGTATGTAATAAATAGTGGATCACAAGAGCAACATGAAAAGAAACCACAGATTTTGCTTTGGATTACATAAAAGAGCTTATAAGGAGAGAAAACAATTGAGTAACTACTTCTGTTGTTCTCGTTATTGCAGTAGGGAGTTTTTTCAGTTTTTGATGTGTCTGAAAATAACAACAGTTTTTTGTGATTTAAGCTTTGATAAATCAACAGCTTCCCTCTGCTTGTAAATGTCCTTTGTCTTTAATAACTGGAGAGGTTTGTTTTGTTTTCCTGAGTTCTGTGGTACCAACAGCTCAGACCTTGGCAGATGTGGGCTTTGGAGAGCATGACTTGGGCAGAGCTCGATGGGAGTGCAGTCCTGTGGCTGGGAGAGTGGGCTTTCTGCAGGGAACTTCTCACCCCAGCCACAAACAGGTTTCACTAACATGGAAAGGACATAGGCAATTTCAAACCAGAAAGGTTTCTGACAGCGTTCAGGCCACGAGGGGTTTTTGGGAGAGCAGCACTTAGAGCCTGAGCCAGTGTTCTGCATGTGAATAAGAGCTGGAGAGGGAATCCAGTGCAGCTCAAGGAGATCTCTGCTCTACCATTTGCACTTTGTAAAGTGCCAGATTGGGTTAAGGCAGTGATGATTGCATCTTTGGAAGGAACTGAGAGGTGGCTTATCCTGCTGTCCTTTTGCTGACCTCTTGGCTAAGGTTTCCATGTTGAGGCTGGTAAAATTTACATAGCTTGACTTCACAGGAAAAAGGGATCAATGGAGTTCTACAAAATTCTCTTGATGGCTCTAAAATAACCATTTCTGTAAATATCTACAGTTTGCTATGGGGTAAAAGTAGTATAAAGCTCTTAAACACATTACCTAAATTTCAATTATGTATAATGTGACTGATTTAAGGTTATTAACCATTCTGCCCTGCCACAATATTTTTAATTCCATGTTTTATAGAAGAAAGAATCCCTGTATTGGAAATGTGGGATTCTCCTGTTCACCCAGGAAGAAACGGTGCTCTGCTGCCATGAATTCACCTTTGTGATCACTGGGGGGGAAAATGCCAAACTAATTTTATCAAATTGCCACGTGGTTTTTAAAATTGTATAAATAACCCAAGTATTGTTTAACTTTAAAAGGAATATTATTTCTTTTTTCTGTAAACTTCATCAAGGCTCCTACCTGCCTGAGGGAGTCAGTGTAATCCTGAGAAGCTGAAGTTACTCTGTTTTAATATCCTTTATGTTATTGGTCCTCTATTAAGTGTCAATTAAAGTGAGTTTGCAATATTTTTTTTTATTTCAGGGATCTCCACCACCACCAAAATTTCATTTTGCTTTCCTACCGCAGCTTTTTCCAACACTTTTGTATGGTAACAGCCTTTGACTGCTGTGGAATTCTTGCTAGCTCTAATTCCAGTATTGAAACTGAGACTTCATCACAATGTTAGTCTTTGCCTGAAAATAAGATGTTCCTTTCCCCCAATTTGGCAGTGTAGCTTTATGCTTATCTTTGTCCCAAAAATTGATTGCCTGTTTTCTTGAGGAAGTTTAGGTGTATTTATCACCCCCAGCATTCTATTTCTGCCAGCTTGTGCGCCAGCATCGAGTTATTTCTCGCAGTGTTACAGAAATGGTGATTTTCTTCAGTGAGTGAAACTGTGCTGCTGCAGCATGGAGTGTGATTGGAGCCTCGTTTCAAGGCTGCAGTTGAGCTCTGGGGCTCAGGTACCGCCCTGGGGCCACAGAGGAGCTTTCCCAAAGGATGCAGATGCTGCAGGTGCATCTATTCTGGGTGATGCAGTGCCAGCACCGTGCTGTGAACCCAGAAATAAACTGACAGAACCCTGCAGTGCCCTCTCAACAGATCAGCTTTGTATATGCCTTGCCAGTAAAAACAGAGTAAAGGTGGGAATATACAGCAGTTCTGGATTAAAAACGTTCTATTTGACTTGATTGGAAACGGGGTAAAAGTAATGGCTGGGTTTCTTTCTGCCTGTATTTTACTAAGGTTATCTAAGAGTCCTGGTGTTGTCAGGTTTCTCTTGGAATGTCAGGCTTTTGGGGGACTCGGAACATCAGGATTTCCCTCTAATTGGAACTCTAGATGTCAAGGTGGTGGTGGTGAATCTGTCACGAGCTTTGTGGAGCTTGGTTCTATATACTTTTGCTTCTTAAAAATGTGAATTTAGTTGATAAAGGAAAATTTCACGAGTGCCCTATTTCATTGGCAGAATCAATATTATTTTTTAAGTGGTTCATAATCCCAAAAACCTTGTATGCTTCATTGTGCAGTGTTCTGCTGATAGAAGAAGCTTGCTTTTAATGTTTTATTTAGTGTCCTTTATAAAGTCACGTTCATTGTGGGTTTTTGCTGCTATTTATGATAAAATTCAGAACCTCTGCATGAAATCCTTTTTCTTTTAAGAATACTTTGGTAAAAGAGAAGCAGTAAATAAATCTGAAGACCTGGATTGTATAGAAAATTTTTTGTAGTAAATGAAACAGAATCACAGAATCAACTGGCAGTTGATGTGACTAGAAGGAGCAGCCAGTGGCATATGAAATAATGCCATGTATAAAAATAGCAAATTAAGGAGAGTTATTTTTTCTGATAGTGCAGGAACTCGTAATGCTTAATGGAGCTGGTAAGTGATGCATGCACAGTCCATTCTTGTCATGTAAAGGTTTCTCGTTAGACACCTCTGCTAGCAGCAGTTTAAACAGTTTAGTGACGGCTGGTGTTGGTCACACCTTACCTTCGAGCAAACGGGTGTGTTTGACACGGGCAGCCAGGCTCTTTCCCCGGTGTGCCAGACAATAACCCTGTGCTGCCTCTTCCACAGACTGCCGAGGAGCTGGAGGATGTGTCTGACCTGGAGGACGAGCAGGATGCGCGCAGCCGTACCAGCGTGCAGACGGAGGGGAAGACAGACCGGGTGAGTGGGACCCAGGGCAGGGCCTGTCTGTGGCCAAATGCTGCCACAGGCACGAGTGCTCCTGAGTTTGTAGATACTTGATACCAAAATGGAGTAAGAAATGATCCACTAAAGCTTTCAAAGGTCACGGTTTCATGTGTGATCTACTTCTCTAATAAGTGTCAATTAAAGTGAGTTTGCAATATTTTTTTTTATTTCAGGGATCTCCACCACCACCAAAATTTCATTTTGCTTTCCTACCGCATCTTTTTCCAACACTTTTGTATGGTAACAGCCTTTGACTGCTGTGGAATTGTTACTAGCTCTAATTCCATTATTGAAACTGAGACTTCATCACAGTGTTAGTCTAAAGCAGATATTAGCTAAACCAGAGTACTTCCTTGAAGGGAATGCTTTTCTTTGAAAAGAAAACCGTGAGTAATGCATACCTGGGGGGCCCAAAGCAAGTAGATGCTGAAGACAGTGGCAGGTAGGGAGCTAGCTGCTGTCAGCAGTCAGAGGCACAGGTTGGTGCTGTGGGGAGGTGTCTCTGGGTGTGCTTCTCCTCGTGAGGTGGGACTGTTACACACAGACTGTGGTTAATACAGCCACAACATTATAGTATGGACATTTCTAGCTTTTTTCCATTTCTGCCTAAAATAATACACTTACTGTAAATGTTCCTTTTTGTGGCATCTAGATAGAGGTCATGGCTTAAAGCCTAATACTATAGTTCAAGGAACAATTTTCCTAGATTTCAGCTCCTGTTATTGGGGCCATAAATGGCACATTACCCCCCAGAAACAACAGAAAATTACAGCTTTGACTAAATTACACATGTATGCACTTGGCCTAAAGTATCATATTGACAGACACCTGCACACACTTTTTTAAAAAGGGTATCTTAAACATCTTAAGGCATCTTATGAGGTCCTAAAATCCATTTGCTGCTGCAGCAGCAAACAAGAGCGGTTTGTTTGTTCCTTATTTGGAACTCTATTTGATATTGATAGTTGAAGATTTCTACCCAGAAGCTGTTTGGCAATCTGAGGGCTCTGTGTAGGGAAGACAGAGGTTAAGGTTTAGGCAGTGTGTGGTTTTGTGTGGTGCAGTTTGGGTCCTGTTGGGAGGCTGCTGCGTGCAGTGTTGACAGAAGTGCTTTGGCAAGATTGCAGAGCAGCCTTCTCTCCTCCTTGAGCTGTTTCTCTTGGGCATTTCAGCTATAATAATTCAGTTTTATTTATACATATCTGGCTCCATATTCATTCTGCATAGGAACACTCTTGATTCCTCTTGCTTTGTCAAGAGTGTTGTAATTTCTTCGATGTCACATCTCTCACTGCTCCAATGGGGAGCTGGTGCCTTTTTTCTTTCTGTTTTTATCACAACTTATAAAACCAGATATGATGTGAGTATGCCACTTGTAACAAAGGCTACATCTTAACTAGCAAATCCTGTTCCCCTTATGTATGAAGAAGTTACGTATTATTAATCACACCTTCAGACTCTATCTCCATAAAGAGAGTAGAGGTTAGTGGTGGTGAGATAGCAGGACTGAGACTTGACCCCGTGTTTATCTTCCTGACTCAACTTGAAAATGTTTCTTCCTTGATCTTTTTCCTCAGATAATTTCCTATTTCTGAGATGAATACGATAGTGCCTGTGGCACCATCCCAGGCTGGGGGATCCAGGTCAGCTTGGGCAATGTGCTGTGAGATCTCTGGGTATTTAAACTGCATAAAAATACCGATGCTTATTTGTAGGGTGATTTTACATCCTTGAAGAAGAGGTTCCTTAGGATCAAGCCCTTAGCTGCTATAAAACAGGCACTGCTCGTGGATCCAAGGGCTAGTGCAGTTTTCCCCAGCTGAAGGTTAGCTCTCCTCTGGTGCAGGTGTGCAGTTTGTGGAAGTTTATCACAGACTAATTGATGCCATCATGATCAGAGTAATTCCCTGAGGGAGGTGGTGGCTTCCTGTTGTGGGGTTCTGTCTTGAAGAGAAGCCTGAGTAAGATTTTGCCCAGTTCATTTTCAGCCTAGAAGACAACGTACCTGTTAATGACCAGGAAAAATTATTACAAGTGTTTGAAGTTGGTAAATTAGTGATGAGAACAGCTTGCTTAATTTCTAAGTTGCTGCTGCAGGTTAAGGGGAACATATTGAGGAAAAGGCAAAATGTTTTACCTCACAACTTAATCCATGTAGAGATGGCAAGAGCAGAACTCTCTCAGGCAGCCACACACACAGTTTTTTTCTCAGAGTTCTGCAGACAGTTTTGTGAATTCATGGACAAAAATGTCTGAGCTTATGATAATTTTTTACACAGTTTTGTTGCACACTGTGTTTGTGCAACAACTTGGGCAGATAAAAAGTTGATTCAGTGTGTTCTGTGAATGAGAAAATCCAGGCTAAGTTATTTCATTGTTTTATTTGTATCTCATTTTTAAATACAGCAGTTAGTTATGTAGCTCTACAAATCTACTAAACTCTGAGAGCCTGGATAAACTAGCAAAGACCAAGAAAAGATGTTGATACTTGCATAAAAAGTAGTTAGAAGGGAAGTTAGGGTTGCCATCAGATTAGTTACCAATTTTTATTCAAGTAGCAAATACTGTACATCTGAGTTCCTGCACTAAATGAAATGCTGATGTTCATTAACAGGAAGCACGTGCTGTTTTGTTAATCAAAAAGCCAATTTCAGAATATTTTTTTAGTTTATTTTTTATCAAAGCTCTACACAAGCATGAAATACTGATAAGAATTCAAGCTTAGTGAAAATAACTACTGTAATTTTCAGTAGGTTCTATGAATAGTAATTTTGACACTTGATACATAGCAGAAAATTCCCTGTCAGGAGTCATGATAGACTGAAAATATTTTTTGATAGACAAAAGCATTTCATTTTCTTGCCAATTTCAACCCAAATTTCCATAAAGGGGAGAGATTCAGTTACTGAAATACTCAAGGTAGCAGTATATTGTGTACTTCTACAAAGTAGAGCTGGAAAGAACCTCAAGAACTTGACTTATCCAGCCATTTGGCCAGGACAGAATCAGTTTTCTTCTTCTTCTTCTTGACATCACAAGAACAATTGCATCGCTCTGCCTGCTTAGCTCATTACTGGAATGGGTGGATTGTTGGAAGGTTTTGTCCTTACACCTCAAGTGTTGCAATTAACACATTAGTACTCATCTGCAATGGGCACAGAGACTGTGAGGTTCCTTTTTGTATGTTTGGGGTTTTTTAATGTACTTGTACATCCTTTTTCTATGGCCTGTCTCTTCTGGAGACTCCACGATGAGTAACTCCAGTAACCTTTATTTACTCTTCAAGGTAGCATTTCCTTTATGTCCTTTTTGTCTCTCTCTCCTGTGGGTGCTCTGCAGCTGCTTAATGAATTCTTGAATGTTGTGTCCAGATACTTTATATTGCAAAATGTGTGAGGCCACCTGTGCTCTCAACAGCTCAGGTGTGAGGTTTGCATGATTTCCTGCTGTGTGCATAGTGCAGAAGGAGCTTTGTATGAGGTCTGCCTTTCTTATCAGCCCCAAATGGCCACACACACAGCTGCCTGTGGCTGGTTCTGTGTCAGCTCTGTGTGCTGGTGACTTTTCTCAGGGGTGAGCCCTGTCTCAGCTGCAGTGTCACACCCTGTGACAGCTCCACATCAGTTCCCAAGGTCGCTTGGAGTTGTAAACCAGCCCCTTCCCCTGTGAGTGTGCGGTGTGTGCTCTGGGCAAACACTGACAGTGAACGCCACAGCTTCTCCTGGTGGCTCCCCTGCCTTGCTCTGTGCTCTTGCTGAGTGCTCTACAAGCAGTTTGCTAACCAGTATCACATCACCACTGGACATCACACCCAGCCCTTACCTCTCCAGGTTGTTTTTAAGGATGACATGATGGTGAAGCTCTGCTGAAGCCCAGACCTAGGGCATGATGCTGTTTTATCTATGTCCCCGGGACAGAGAGAAATTACATTAATATGCCATAGTTGCATTGTCTAAGCCAACCTTCTTAGTGAAGGCTGATGCAAAAATGGCATTAAACACTTTGTTTACTATCTCCCAATAGTTTTACCTCTTAATCCAGTTTATCCAATTATATTGGATCTAAAAATGCAGCAGAGCTGTCATGGCAGAACACATGAGGCACTCTGAGCTTGTTTAAGGAATGCTGCACTTCAGCAGGCTTGCTGCAATTCTCGAAACTGGGAGCAGGCAGCTGGTGACAGCAGGTAGTAAAGAAACACAGCCTCTCCCCACTGTCAGCATCCCACACCCTCCCAGTTCATCTCTGGGGGTGTGTATTCACCTGGCTGTGAATGCTGAACATCCAACATCATCCCTGTCACCTCTTTCTCCAAACTCACAGAGCTATTCCCTCGGTTGGAAAAGTTGTAGCCAAAGGTAGTGGGCATGTCTTACTCATTTTAACAGAATCCCTTTTGACTCAGAGGTGTCTCTGTGATTTCACATATGAACATACCGGCACTCAAATAGAATCAGGATCAGGGAATGATTTGGCTTGGGAGGGACCTCAAAGATCATTTAATTCCATGGCAGGGATGCCCCTCACCAGCTCAGGCTGCTCAGGGCCCAGCTCACATGTGTGTTTTACAACAGTGGTCTGCAAAGTTTGTTGAAGAAAAAGCCAGGTAAGGGTCACAACTGGAGCTGTTGTGAAGCAGCGTGGTTGAAATAGATTGGAGTGATCTGCAGGGGTCCTGTTCTTTTCCACCAAATATTCAGCTGACTGCAGCAGGAGAGCAGGAACAGACCAGAGGGCTTCTTGTGGCTGCTGAGGCTCTGGTGGAATGAAAACCTCAGCTCTCAAGACAAAGTAGGGATGTGAATCCGTTCTTCTGGGATCCCTGCCATTACCTTATAACTGCAGTATGTGACGAGCAGGTTATTTTGTGTTCTTGCTTGTAAAAGCTCTGAGAAGTTTTTCATGTGCTCATCTGGGAAACGGGGGTTTGTTTCCTTGTAACCTACCAAATTGCAGAAGAACAGTGTTTTCCTCTTCTCTTCCCTGGAGTTACATGACATTGCAGCCTACAAAGCTGGCAGTGTTAGATAATTTTCAAGGGAGATTCTTTGATGTTGCTTGAATGTATTGTGCTGCTTTCTGTTGCCTTACTTTCCTTCCTGGTCCCTGTAAGTGGTAAGAACGGTGCTGGTGTGGATCTGGCCAGGTGTTTGGTTTTAGGGGTCAGGAAAGAAAAAAATGTATGTCAGTCTGAGGTTTCAAGAGCATAATCAAAGTTTATGTGAAGGTCAAATCCTTGGAGAGCAGCTGGAGACAGAGGTAGGCAAAAGGGTGGTTCTTAGGGTTGGGATGTCATTGGCCAGCAATGTACCAGGGAGAGAAGAGTCAAAATCTTCACCATTTCCCCCCATGTGTCCTTACATGGCCTTAAAAGTTCCGTTTCTTTGATGGAGAACTGACTGAAACGTGGAAGGTAATGAAAGGAAACAGCAGTCTCAGGTTGCAAATGGGACAATTCAAATAACACAAACTCCAGTGTTGGAGCTACCAGGGACAAACAGCCTTCAGAAAAGTTAAGTCAGAGACATTTAAGAAAAAAATCTGTACTTTTTTTTTTTTAATAGGAGGAAGGGAAATACCACAGCTATAACTTCTCCTCTCACCTAGTCCTAACTGTTATCTGCTACTGTAATGATAACATTTTGTCTTAGAGGTAGTGAAAAAATAATTTTCTCCTGCTGGACAAAATAAACCTGCACTGATGTAATAGTCATTCAGTTTAGATCTTTATTTCACAATTAGTGTTATATTGCATATTTCAATACAAAATTAAATCTGTACATAAAAGGCTCTGCATACAATTGCTTTATTTTGTCAGACATAGTTTTAAAGCAGTATGAGGGAAAGGAGAGAAAAGAGGTCAGAATTACAATTTCCTTTTGGCCTTTGTTCCAATGGATAATGTCTCATTCCACCTGAAGCTCATTATTGTTGGCAGGTAGCAGGATGCTCTATGTCACAGTTCCCTCATTAAAATGTCATCTTTCTTGTGGTTTCAAGATCCAGGCCTGTGATCTTGAACTCCAAGCAGTGTTGAAGCTGGGGGCTAGGAAATACCACAGACATCCACCCATCAGCAAACATGTATGAGATCATAAAAGTTCTCTTCCCTCTGTAGCTCATTTTGGGTTTTTTTGACAGCATGGGAGAAGTAGCCTTCAGATAGCTGGGCTTTATAATTCTGGGACTGTAGGGTAATTCTGACCACTGTAAGACAGCTCATTCCACCATTAACCGTTCTGTATTGTGTGATTCTGTGAGTGCAGTTACAGGTACGTGCTGGGAGACCTGTCATTTTCAGTCATTTGTGTAAGTGAGAAAGCTAACCCTGTGACAGTGATTCCAGTGTCAATAGAATCTCTGAAAAGGCACGGCTGGACAAACATCCACATTATGTATAGAACGGATTACCCATTTTATTAACTGTAAACTATTCAGCCATGGCCTTAACTTTCCATTTTATTGGTGATAGGTGTTTTCTAAACAAGAATAAGTGACAAAATATTTGTTGTGTAATTACAGAGTAATGGGAGTGTGTTGATAATTGCTGTGTGTAGTTGTGAGCTGCTGGTGGCAAGAGAGCCATGAGGAGCAGCCCCTGTCTCCTGGGGTAGGAGCTGTGATGAAGGGCCAGCGGCTCCACGTGGCCGTGCAGGGTCCCAGCCCTGGCTGTCCTGACACCACAGGGGTGTCTGAGCCATGACTGCAGCAGGCTGGGGCTCAGGAACAGCATGAAGCAAAAACATTGCTCTCACCATGCTACATTTTCAGGAGCTTTAGGTAATCTTACATCCTGAATTCTGACATGTTCATCTATCCGTCTTCTGCAAACACAGAAGATGCATGTGTGAACAATTAAATCTTTCTCAGCTCCTAAAATGAGAATGTAGAACCTTCTCAGAAGAGACAGTGAGCATACCTGTGTGTTTCAGGACAATTAACCCTTTTCATTGATTATTCCATACCTGAATCAATACTGCATTCTGTAACTTTTACATGTATCATACCTAAATCTACGTAGGCTCCTTAGCCCTAAGAAATAGGAAAATGAATCAGTCATATTTCATAAAGGCTCTTTGGAAGAATTTCATCTTCTTTCTCTCACTGTGCTAAAATTAATGGTTTCAGGAGCAGCACTATCCCCATTGCACTGAGATTATTTATTTGGCTCAAACCAGTGACAACAAACAAATTTTGAAATTTAGAAGTGCTCAAACTCAAACAGTTGGCTCAGGCCATAGTGTGTTTAAACAGTGTTTATTAATGTGCAGTAGTGGTTTTGTTTAAAAAAAAGAAAATAACTCTGGCATAGATGTTTTACAAATCAAATTATTCTGTTTTAGGCCAAGATGACTCAGCTGCCTGAAGCTGAAAAGGAAAAGATAGCTGAGCAAGTGGCTGACTTTAAGAAAGTCAAGAGTAAGCTTGATGCCGAGATTGAAATCTGGGATGATACCAGCAATGACATAATCGTTCTGGCCAAGAGGATGTGTGTGATTATGATGGAAATGACTGACTTCACAAGGTAAGTACATAAAAAAGGCTTCTTGGACACTTAGAAATGCTGGAGGCCATTGTCACACTGCTACAGCAGCAAATAGAGAGTTTTTAATGTCAGCTCACAGTGTCTCTGCAAAGTTGAGTGGCTCAGCTAATGAAACACATCAGGTAGGAGCACTGAAGTGTTGGGGGATTTCATGTTTTGAACTATACTTATCCCCAGTTTTGTGCCCTTGTCCTCTCTTATTAATTTCTTGGTAAGGTTTTTGCACATGTTTTAGCACTCTATTTCTGCTCTCAGTGAAAGGGAAAAAGTAACAAAATAATCTCGATTTTAAGCTGTAGATTTGTCTCATCTGTTGTTCTTTCTACTTGTATCAGAGCATGCTGTCAAGCATAAAACACGCTGTACACGTGTGACAGTACACATCCAGACTCACACATATTTCATACCCCATTATTGCTGCTGCTTCCATCACAGCTCTGGTGCTGCTGGATGTGGTTTAAAGAATGCAGAGTACCACAGCAGATAGCTCTCAAAGCTGGTATTCCTTTCTGCAGCCAGTATGTGCTTGGTGATGTTCTTAAAACAGGAAACAAGTTTAAGTGCAGGAGATTTTTTCTGCCATGCTCTGAATTAAATGTTGTGTAAATCTCATCAAATTGATGATAACAAAGGAAGGTATTGGTGGTGCTGTCTGTCCTTCCTTCCCTGGCTTAGTTAACAGTAAAATAGTTGCTGATGAGTGAAGTCTTAGCACACAGCCCCTCTTGCAGGACACTTAGGGCCTCGTAAGGTCAGTGCTTTGGTGCAGGGTACAAAGAATCTCTCTGTATCTCTGTGAGTGTCAGTGAGCTGCACCAGCTGGGACAGAGCTGGGCTCTGCTGCAGGCTCTTCCTGTTGCGTTTTACCACACTGGCACTTTGCAAACCCACCTGCAGGTGAGAGGGGATAAAGACCTGCATGGAGAAGTCCGAGATCCGTTATGAAGCTGGTTTTTAATATCTCCCTAAGTTTTGTTGCTTCTTTAATGATGCCAGATGGATTCTGGTGAAAAAAAGACTTGTATTTGTCTGAGCAATGGGTGAACTCTTGTGGCTTTTCCTCTGGTTGCTTGTCCAAGGTGCAGTTGTATGTGCTGAGAAGCACAGCTGGCTCTTCACCTCCTGCTCTGCGAAAATCTGGGAACAGATCATAGAATTGCTTAGGTTGGAGAACATCCTTAAGGTCACTGAGTCCATCCATTAACCCAGCAGCACCATGTTCATTGCTAAACCGTGTCCTAGAGTGCCACATTCACATGTTTTTGAACCTTGCAGGGATGGTGATTCCATCAGTTCTCTGGGCAGCCTGTTCCAATGCTGGACTACCCTTTCAGTGGAGAAATTTGCCTTAATGCCTAACACAAACCTCCCTTTGGTGCAAGTGGAAGCCATTCCCTCATCCTGGCACTTGTCTCCTGGGAGCAGAGTCTGAGGCTCAACCCCCCGTCTGCCCCTCGTGTCAAGGACTTGTGCAGAGCCACAAGGGCCCCCTGAGCCTCCTTTGCTCCAGGCTGAGCCCCTTTCCCAGCTCTCTCAGCCCCTCCAGACCCTTCCCCAGCTCCTTTGCCCTTCTCTGGACACCCAGGGCATGAATATTGCAGAACCCACAGCAAGCACCAACTCACCTTAGGGTCTGAGCTCACCACTGTAACTCTCAAGTTCTTGAGCGTGGAAGAAATAAAAGATCCTGACATTCTGTGTTTGTTACATCAGAATCTACTCAGACAAACAGTAAATTTCTGTATTTGAGTGGCTCGTTACATAAGCTGATTGCTGTTGTTCTTCATATGGTATTACCTTGCATTCATTGGTATTTAATCTCAGTGAGTGATTTTCAAAGTTTGGGTTTTTTTGCTCTGTCTTCTGTAGAAGTAAATGGCAAGAAATGGCCTGACCTGCTGTAACGGTTTTAATAATATTTTAGTGAAAATATTCTCATTTTGCTCCCAACTGGCTAAAAATGTGCAAGAAAAATCCCAGGGTTGCATTTGGTTTGTTCTGTTCTTCCCTAAGCTTTTTGTGTAATAAGTGGAGCAGGGTTTTTGTTTTTTATTGCCAAAGCAGACCTACAATTAAAAAGGTATTTGCCAATAAACATACCTAAGTGCATTTTGCTCATATAAGGGAATGTGTATCTAATTCAAGCAGTGCTTTGGATCACAACAGTGGAACTTAGAATTCCTGTTGAGAAAGGAGCAAGGAAAGGTCAATGGTTTAAGCATAATGGGAGCTCTGCTGTGAAGTTTTTGAGTAGTTTTACTGGTTGAGCCCTGAGTAGCAGGAAAAGTTCCTTCAGAGACCTGCAGGATGTCTCTGTGCAGGATTTTCACAGCACTCTGATGATAGGAAAGGTAGCACCAGGGCTCAGGTAAGGTTGGGACAGCAGGCTGAGCTTGCTGCTGTGTCCCAGGGGTTTGGTAGATGCAGCACAGGGAGACCAGTGCTGGTAATGGACCTGGCTGGGCTGGTCCCCAGCCTGTCCTGCCAGCATGCAGCCCATGGGTTCAACTCAGTGACCAGCTGGAATTCTGGTGGTGCTGCAGTTTGTGCCTGTTCAAGTCTCTGGGACAATCCCCTTCACTTTTCTGTGGTGTAAGCAGTAAATGAGAATCGCTGGGCTTTTACCTCTTAACCACTCTGTAGGCTGTTAGATTCCAAATGGGGCCATATGGACTCTTTCTTTAAACAAGAGTGCAGCTCTCAGCAAACTGTTGAAAGCATCTCATATTTGTTCTTGCTTCTTGACATTTGTTTCTAAAATGGCATCAATATTGGAGTTAATATGAGAAATATAGTGAAAATATCAAAACAAATTAACAAGACTAGGAAAAAATAAATCTAGCAAAGTCATTCTCCAAAAGCTGTCCCCCTGTATCCTGTAGTAGGACTAAATGTAATTCTCTAGTACTTGAAGGATTGCAGCTTGGCTGAACTTTTCTGTCTGTAGTACTGCTGGTTAGCGCCAAGTGCAGCTGCCTTGTCGGGCAGGGCTCCTCACCTGGCACTAGCCACAGTCCTCAGCCTTAATTCATCTGGGCTTCTGCTCTTTGCATGGGAGAGCAAACCAGGGTGGCAGTTCTGCAGTTACTGCACTCAAAGAGAGTGTGAGACACACGGATGACATAGAGGACAGATGAGGGTTCTATGCCTAGTTGAGTTCATCCATCAAACTCCTCACCAAAACTCACTATTTGATTTGCTTTTCCTTTTGTGCCCCTTCCCACTTCAGAGTTACCTGTGATCCTCCTATTTCCCATCCAGCAGCCAGATGCTTTTGAAATTCTCCAGAGCTTTTTCACTGCACCCTGAAATCTGCTGCCTTCCTTGCCTTTTTCTGGCCCTTCCAGCCCTCAGATTTGTATCAGCTCCTCTCAGCCCTGTGGAAATCCCATGTCCCAGCTCTCCTGCTCAGCCTGGTCCCCGTCACCAGTCTGGTTTGCCAGTGCCACTAAAGGTCATGGTAGCTGGATTCCTAAGCCCCTGAAGTGGGTGTCACTGCAGTCACAGTTCAGCTTGAGATACTTGTAGGAATTTCCCCTGTCCCTCCCTCCCTGCTGTCCCAGGGCGCTGGCTGCTCAGCCCTGTTCCATTAAACAGGCTGGGATGCTTTTGAGAGCCCGCAGTTACTCAGTGTCTGCATCATAAGCTGTGTATGAGAACAAACAACTTCTGCTTTAAATGATTTCATCAAAAATCAATTGAAGATTGGAGGTTATGAAAGTTTTGAGTTACCAGAAAGGACAGTTATGTTGGAGACAATGATTTTGGGCAAAGAAGGTGAACCTCTCCTTTGGGTTCTGTGTTAAGAGCAGCTTTTACTTGTGTTCCTTAGGTGAAGACATTCTTTAAGGTAGATTGTTTCCTGAGCGGTTCAGTTCAGCTGTGTGCATACCTGCACGTGTTCTATCATCCCTGCCTCATGGAACAGAGGCAGCAGGGTTTCCTGTTCCAGCAGGGTGGGTGAAGCAGGTTTTGCATCAGCTGCAGTGCTGGCAGTGCTGCTCAGGGGTTTGCAGAGGCCCCTGTCCTGCCAGCGTTGCTCTCAGGTGAACACGGGCTCGGATCTGTGACAGATCCTGGAGAGGTGGCGAGATAAAACACAGAGCACAGTCAGCTGATGCCGCTCCTTCTGTCTGAACATTCCAGAGCTTCTAATGTGTGCACTGATAAATCAGGATTTTGGGGGTGGAAATCCAGTATCTGTGTCCTCCTGCCCGTCTCAAAAACTCGTGACCGAGCCTGAATTTCCTTTACACCACTGCTCTGTCTTCATTAATGGTACTTGCACTGAATGTGATATTTCATATGATACTTCTGTGGATGCTTCTGCCATTTTTATCGTAGAAATAATTTCAGCTGATTCTTAAATACATACACCAGCAAGTATTTAATCTGATTTGGTAGTTGCTACTCAATATAGTTCTAATAATTAAGTGCTAAATATTCATCTCTTTGACAGTAAAGTCTCTAAAAAAAATTACTTACTTTATACAACCCTTATTCCAAAGGGAAAATCACCTGATGGATTGAAGTCTTAGAACCAAAAGAGAAACATTTAAAGAAACAAAAATAATTTAACAGTTTGGCTCTGTGACAGTGTTACTCCAAGTATTTATATATCCAATTTGCAAGCTAAGTGGATTTACTTTCCCGTAGTAGGCACAATTACCATCCATAGCAGTATTATTAAACAAACACAGTAGATCACGAGTGCTCAGTGCGATGTAGATCCTTCTGATGGGGATTAAGCGGTCAGAATTCCCTCGGTGCACGGGCTGTGGTGGCGGCAGCGTGCAGCTGCAGAGGGTGTGGGGATCAGGGCACAGCCCTGCCATGGCTGCTCTCTGCAGCTCAGCAAAGCACGGGGGGTTCTTGGCAGCCAGGCCAGTGAACACTGCTGGCCAAAATAACGAGCACAGCCTTTCTTCCTCCCCCTGCAGCAGCTGTGTGCGAAGCTGCGCTCAGGAAACAGCTTCTGC